AGCAGCGTATGAAGCGGCTGCGTAGGTGAGAGCGTTCTCGACATCGTCCTCCTTCTTCTGGTGCATCTTGAGGACCAAGCGTTCGGCAAGGTAGAACGCCGGGTTCAGAATGACCGAGAAGGCGATCGTAATGTGCAGCTGCATGAAGAAGTAAGCCATGACGACGGCGCCCCAGTCTGACTTGAAGCCCAGTGTGGTGAGGCCGGTCGTGGAGTCCGGGTAGATGGAGTACAGCAGGTTTCCCGTGATCTGACAGCCCACGGACGAGTACGCTGTGCTGGCCAGGATCAGGAACAGACACGAGATGAAGGCCATCGTGGCGAACACCACACGAGGCATGCGCGTAGGCTCGCTGTGCTGGCGCTGCAGAGCCGGGATGACAATGCCGGCGTTGTAGGCCAACGACAGGTTGCCGAACATACCCGCGACCTGCGAGAACTTGATGTCGGGTGACGGTGGCGATGGGTGGCCGCGCATGCCATACATGACGACGGCTACACCGATGACATCGGCGATAAGCGTACCTGCGCAGCCGGCAAAAGCCGCACCGGCGCCCTCCTTGAGCGTCGGAATGAGGCACACAGGCAGACACATGAGCGCCATGAAGCAGATCCAGTAGGTGGCGCTGAAGGCGTCCGGAAAGAGGCCGTCCAGCAGAGTACCGCCCAACACGAGGAACACGCACGGTACGAGAAGACAAGAGGCCATTTGGGAGACGACCGAAAGCCAACGGCCCCATTTGCCCATGCACCATTCACCCAGGTCGCTGTAGGTCTTGACGCTCTTGGGAGCCAGAAGCATCACGCGGCAGATGGCCACGGATGCGTACACGTTGGCGAAGGCCATGAAAGCCATGCCGATGACGGCCAGCACGGGCCCAGCGCGCGAGAAGTTACCGGGCATACCAAGTGTACCAATGCCGTAGACGCAGCAGAAGATATTGAGCGCCATCTTGAGATCCTCGGTGGTGAGGAACTTCTTGGTGCAGCCCATTTTTTTTTTTTTTTTTTTTGCAAGTGGCAAGTCGGCGAAGGAAGTCGGTCGGTTTGCGCGCTGCGAGGCAGATTGGAAAATGAGGTGAAGTACAGCGAGGTCGATAGAGCGGGGATCAGTGTATCGGAGACGCTGCGCGGTAGGTGACCCATGTTTGTCAAAAGTGCATCGGACGAGGCCGAGTGCAATGCAAGAGATACGGAGCTCGTCGACGATGAAGAGGATGCGTCGGCGATGAAGAGGATGCGCTCGCCGACGAATCCAGACCGTGCTCACTGAGTCGGACGTCGAGCATTCATCCAATTGAGGCATTCATCCAAACACCTCGAATAAATCCTAGCTAGCATCGCCGGATCTTTGCAACGCAATGCATTGAACGCATGTTGTCGTCGTTGCCGGGCAATTTGCTGCCACGATGTGCATCTTGACGATGGTCATGTTGAAGTGCACAGCAGGGGCGTCATTGTTGATGATAAGATGGATTGAAAATTGGTCCCTTCGAATGTCTCTATGAACATTTAGCGGTGCCTCGCTTACGGCTGTTACATGTTAGCCCCGCAGTCATAGAGTACGATAGATGCATGAGGCCGTTCCGGTGCAGGAAGCTGAAGAATGCAAACGTACTTAAGTAGTACTTAGTACCCATTTGAGGGCCAATTTGGTTGCGACTTCAATGAAGCTGTCCTGCTACAGATCGAGGGTTGAATTGAAGCGATTTGGGGCATCGTAGAGGGATCATTAAATCAGCTGCACTACCTTCTCGCAACCTACACATGGCAAGCGGGCGCGGTTCAAACACGTACACGCTCGAAGCCCGTGCGTCCGTCATGGGTGACCCGTGTTTGCAGGATGTACACAGGCTTGCTTCGCCAAGTTAGCGCCTCGTGGCGCTCATCTTCCAGGGTTGTCTACGGACAACATGTAACGTGGGCGACCACACAGTCTGTGCCACAGACTCTGTGGTCGCTTGCAGGACGATGGACTCAAACAGCAGATATACGGTTTAGTGATGCGCTTGCCGCACGGCTGCAGTCGGCGACGGCTCAAGACCGCAGAGGAAGAGAGCAAGCGTTCTGGTGCCCTGCGCGGAGCATCACCGCGGTCTTGCCTACAGTTGCATTGTGATGAGGGAAAAATCTCCCCTCCGGACAGGAGTCCGGTGCGCTTCCCGTGACGTCGCGCCAGTATAACCCGATTCAACCGATTGCCCGTGGCAATTTGCCACTTGACAAGTACATGTAACACTCAGGACATAGCTACTCGCGATCAAGAGTCTACAGTGCTAAAAAGAAAAAGGGAGTAGCTAAACTGTGAAAAG